TGCTGCCCACAAGGGGAAGAGGCAGGGGGTGGGCCGGGGGCAGGAAGAGCGTTTCCAGGTTGTCAGGAGGCTGCTCAAGATTCCCTGGGGAGGCCACGGAAACCGCAGGACTCCTTTTGATACTCCTTCGGTTTGGGCGATCCTCTCTCAGCTCGGCCACCATCTTTGCCTGATCAGCCTCTGTGGGCTTCACACCCAGGCCGTGGGCCCTCACGGGCTCAAAGGAGCTGTTGGCGCTGGTCTGGAACACTCCCGTGGGCTTCGGGGGGCTAGGCGTTGGTGCCTGAGAGAGGGGGCTGCGGTAATCCACGCCGGGCTCCTGCTCCCCCACATGTGCTCCAAGCGGAGAGGAGTCAATCTGCTTAAAGAAGCACCGAGAAGCCTCCTGCTCAGGCTTGCCGCTTTCCTGCTGAATGAACGTCCCCAGCTCTTGTGGCCGGGTAGCGCCAGGAGCGCTCCTGTGGCTCAGGTTGCTATAGTTAGAAGAGACACTGTCAGGCCGGACAGGCCGCGGGAACACGCTGGGGGCCTCTACATTGGGCCCTCCTTCGATATGGCTCCCAACGGGGTTCTTTGGAAGCAGCGGGGCCAGAGAGGCGTACCTGCTGGAATCCGAGGCTGCCCTCGGGGACGAACGGTGCTGTGATGATGGCTCCCTCGGCAAAACTTCCTGATTTTGAACGCACTCCTGGTTCTCAACGTTTTCGTACATTGTGCTGGCAGAACGGCTTCCTGCTTGCTGAACGAGGCTGGCTCTGTCCTCGCCAAGGAAGGGCGCCTTCTCGTTGGCCTGCTGAGCGGCTGCCGTTCTAAAGAAACGAGGGGTGTCTGCTTCCTTTGGTGCCACCTCTGCTGCCACAGCTGTATTAGCCTGGGCTGGCAAAAAAGGAGCCGGTGGCGCTTGGTGGGCGTGCAAAGGCTGGTAATACGTGTGACCCATCGTCTGCTGGAAAGCGTCTACGTCTGCTGTGGCAGCCCGGTCATTTTTTTCTGATGAAAGTATCTCTTCGTTTTCAGCTTCATCTCCCTTGAAGAACATCGAAATTGTCCCTGAATCTGCCTCGGGTGGGCACTGCCCACTTCCTGCCTCAGAAACCCCTGGGGCATGGCCAGAGGGGCTGTTTTCCTGAGAAGCGGGGTGGCCCGAGGGATAAGCTGCTTCCAGGGGCTGCAAGTAAAAGTGTTCTTGGGGGAGCTGGCCAGCCCATGGACTTGTGCCTCCTGGGCTCTGCCAAGCGCTACTGGGGGGGAGAGTCACACCGGATGCCTCGCCAAGCGTCAGTGGGGTCTGGGTGGCACTGGGAAGTGCAGGCTGCTGAGGCGGCGCTGGGTGGGGATCCAGCGGGGGGCCTGGCTGGGAAACAGCGACACTGGAATGTGCAGCACTAGCAAAGGCATTTCGGGACACAGGCTCTGGGTAAGGCAAATAAGCGGGGCTTTGGGGAGACATCCACTGAGGCACAGTCTGTTGAAGGGGGGGGAAGGCAGGCAACGGTATTGGGACCGCACCGGGGTTGCCTGGATTCCTACTCACATCAGCCCCACCTGACGGCCTGTCTGGGACAGAGACCAAAAGAGAATTTTCAGGGGCGATTCTCATGGACTGAGGCTGTTCTGCAGCGTGGTGTGGGCTGTGCTCGACATTTTGATGTGCTTCAGCGCTGTTGGTTGCCCCTTCGGGGAAAGATGGCAAGGAGGCTGTTGGAATGGAAAATGTGCTGCCGGCTCCCGACTGAGAGGCTGAGACTGATGTTAACGACGGAGCCGGTCCATGAGAAGGGACCCCGGAGGATAGATGAAGAGGAATGGAAGCAGCCGATGGAGGAAAAGCCATTGGGGAAGAGCCTTGTGCAAGTGCTGGATCTCCTTTGGGTGCACTGCTTAACGGGGAGGCCCGTGGGGCTTGTTTGCCAAAGGCAAAGGGGTCTGTCACAGGTTGCACAGGTCCAGCTGCTGCTGCTGCTGCAGAGGTGGGAGCGTTTCCTCGCCTACCATATGGGCCATTTCGCCAATGCATATTCCAGGAGGGAGCGAGAGGAGGAGGGCCTCCAACCCCTGCGGGGGCCGTCTGCGGAGGGGGCTGCATGATAAAAGTGGAGCCAAGTCACTTGCCACCTGAAGAGGACCAGCAGATGTAGCAATGCTGGCATAAGCTGGAATGAAGAAAACAAGACACATGGAATTACAGGTAGTCCTCGACCTACGACCATTCGTTCAGTGACCGTTTGAAGTTATGAGGGTGCTGAACAAACGATGGCTAGGACCAGTCCTCGGAGTTCCGGCCGTCCCAGCACCCCCATGATCATGCAATCACTGTTTGCAACCTTTCCTGGTGGCTTCCCCAGAAAGTCAATGGGGAAGCCAGCAGGGAAGGTCGCAAGTTGCTAGGCTAAGTCTCCCCCACCTGTGCATCCTCCCCCAGCCCCTGTGCTCGCACCACGCTGGCCACTTGTGCATCCCCGTACACCCTCCCCGACCCTCACTGGGCCTCCCTCATATCCCGTGCACCCTCCCTGACTGAGACCTCTCGCACCCCCTCCCTGACCCACACGGTGCCTCTTGCGCAGCCTCGCACCCCCTCCCCAACCCACGGAGCACCTCTCTTGCATCCCCTCGCACCTTTGCACACCCTCTCCAACTTGCATGGTGCCTCTCACACCCTCGCACCCCCTCAAACCTCCACAACCCACGTGGTGACTCTCACATACTCCTTCACACCCTCCCAACCTGTGGGGCACCTCTCATCCCTCCCTCAGCCAGCAGCAGCCACTTACTTGCCTGATGGCCTGAGACTTGCAACTTACTGCCAGCTTTCCCACCGGCTTTGGCTGTGGGTACCGGCAGAAAGTTGCCTTGCCTCATGACCGTGGGATTCAGTTAATGACAGCAAGTGGGACTGCAGGGATTGTCGCACTTTATGACTGCATCGCTTAGAGATGGAAATTCCAGTCCCAAGTGACATCGAAATTCAAGGACTATCTGTACACACTTGCCATTCCATAAGGAATATGAACTAAGTATTGCTGGAGATGAAATAAATGATTTTGGGGGGGAAAATCTGAACTACATAGAGTTTATAAAACACAATTTGAATATGCTAAGGATACTGGCTGACGTGGCAGAAATCTCTCAATTCCTATTCTCTTCTTAGGGCTGCATTTTACAACTGGCTTTCCTTCTTCAACCCAGCACGGCCTCTCTTTTCAGTTAATGAAACAATAACAGCGATAATGGATAAAGTTAGTACTACGTGCCAGAAGCAAGGCTTCTATCTTGATTTTCTAATCTTCAATTCTAGGCCCAGAAGGGATTCAGGCACCTGAGTAATCTTACCTACTTCCTTATCTGTCCACAATTTGTATTTTTTTGTTAAAAGCTTGCTCAGAGATGCTTTTTGTGGTATACCTTTTGATCGAGGGAATGGCACTTTCACTTAAGCTGCAGCACTTTCTAGTAGGGACCAACGGCCTCAGTCGGCTGCAGGCCTGATTTTTCCTCCATGTTCCATCAGACTAAGTGGCGGGGGGGGGGGGGGGGGGGGGGGGGGGGGGGAGGGCAGCAGCGGGCAGGAAAGAACAGAAGCCTTCTCTGGGGTTTTGTATTACAACCACCTCTTGTCACCTGATTGAAATTGTCACCTGACTGTATTTCTTCCCAATACATTTGGTAAGCAAAACTTCAAAAGTAGGTCATGTTAATTTTGAATGCCTTTCATATACCTGAAAACCTTTGCCGGTATCCTAACCTGAAATATTTCTCTGGGACCAATTCAGAAAACCATGCTGAGCATGGCTTGGATGCTGTATTTGGAGAAAATCAAAGTTTTACTTTTTATAATATTTGTAAGTATTTTAAACCATCTCCACTCAATACTGTACATTCCAGTGCATTATTTAGATTTTTATATTAAAAAAACCTTAGGCAGTAAAATAAAACTAAACACAGATGCTGCTTACAGAGATTCAATCCAAGTTTAATTTCATCTTTAGTTTTAGATTTGAGTCGCATTATATTCATTGTACTTATCCAAGCTGATTTGTGATGGGTTCCTTTTAGGAACGTATCGTTCTATAAAATGAATGTGGCGGCTGGCGGGGAGAGAACGGTTTAGATTTTTGAGAGAAATCTCTAGAGAGAATGGACACATTTCTATCCATGACACGGATTTGCATCTGTTACTGTTGTCACTTAATTATTTTCAAATAATTTTATCTACAGGAATATCAAGGGATCTGGAAAGCAAGCAAACATTTTTGTGGGCAATCCACTGGGCTTCCCACTGAATTCTTCAGGATCAGAAGGAGTCAGTGGCACAGCCCCCCCCCAACCAGCCTTCCTCCCGGTGTGTTTTGGGGCTTCACTTCCCAGAATTCCCAAATGGTGGGATGTGAGGAAGTGAGCTAAGGGACCCACCTGAGCTCCAAACTAATTTGGTCCTCCTTACTATATGGCATTATGAAGGGGGGCCTGAAATCCCAAGGCATGGGAAGCAAAAAATACTCCCTGAGCTGAGACAAAATTGCTAATATCTGCTGAGACACAAGGGTCTGAGACTCCTCGAGCAGTGAAGTGTTCTAAGAAAGAGAGAAGTCTGTCACACTTTGTGATCTGTTGTGACTACATCACAAGCCATCTCTGTGATATTTTGGACAGCAAACATAAACGTGCAGGTCAGGGGGCTTCGGAGTGGGCTGGAAAACTGAACTCAAACGCCAAGTTCACACACCATAAAGCGATATGCTTTGGTTCAGCAAGGTGTGTGAATCCCATCACTGCAACAAACTCAACAAATCACATTAAAGCACATTTTTGTTTAATACAATACATGTCCTCAGTCATGGAATTTTGTCACTGGCTCCTCAAAAACAGGAAAAGCATTTCAAGAGAAGCCCTGTAGGATCCTATCCTTTCCTCAACATTTTTACCTATGACTTAAAATGAAAGATTGAAGTAAACCTTATCAAATGTGAAAGTGACACAGAAAATGTTTATTTTGCTTTACAAACAAACAATTGCAAAAATGAAGTTTTGCATTGGAGTGAGGCAGGGAGGAGAAGAAACAAATCAAAAGCAGCAGTGTTGTATGAGAGCAGCAGGGAAGGAATAATACAGGCAGTCCTCAGCTTACGACCACAGTTGGGACCGGAATTTCTGTCGCTAAGCGATGTGATCATAAAGCAAGATGTCACATGACTGCATCACTTAGCAACCACAATCCCAGCAATTCCCCTTGCCATCATTAAGCAAATTTAACCGGTTGTTAGCCAAGGACCCGCTCCAATCTAAGCCATTCTGGGCTTGGTCCCTCCCAGCCCTGAACCTCAGTAAGGCTCCAACTCCTCCCACCTGCCTATCTCCCCCCACATCTCTGCCCTTCTGGCCATCCTACATCCTGCCTTGCAGTGTGGCAAGCAGCTCCAGAACCACATGACCCTGGGGCTGCAAGAAACCCCTGAGTCACAGCATAGCACAAAGCTGCAGCCGCCCCAGGAAGCATTTGTTCACCCAGTTGCCTTTTCTCCCAGTTCCCCCACCAACCTTTTGCATCCAGCCCCAGGGTTGAAGCAGAAGCACCTCACTGCCTTTTCTGTCTCCTTTTCAGACCCAGTTTCTCCAGTGAACTTTTCCTACATGTGGCTCCCTGAGCCTTTGGAAAGGGGCTTGCTTTTGCTGGCTTCACACAGAAGGGTAATAATAATACAGTGGTGCCTCTAGTTACGAACGCCCCTACTTACGAATTTTTCGAGATACGACCAGCTCCGGCCCCAAAAATTTACCTCGACTTGCGAACTCGCCTCGACTTACAAACTGGATCCGCGGCCATTTTCCGCCCGTGCCACGTGGTCCGCGGCCGTTTTTCTGCCCTGCTGCGTGGTCCGCGGCTGTTTTTCCGCCCCTGACGCATGGTCCGCGGACGCCGGAACGC